TTCCATTGGGTCACCTCTCTTCAGAATGGGCACAAATACGGATCTCTTCCAATATGTCTTCCAAATTTCTTGGCAGAGATGAGTGAGTGCTTCCTGTGCCTCCTCACTTTCTTGAAAGATTTCGCTTTTTATTCCATCAATTCCTGGTGCCTTGCTCTTTGCCAATTCCTTGAATGCACTTTGGACTTCCTCCTTCAGTATCATTGGCTCTTGATCATATGCTACCTCTTGAAACAGCTGAACATCAACCATTTCCTTTTGGTACAGTGACTCTGTATTCCTTCCATCTTCTTTTGATGCTTTCTGCATCATTCAATAATTTGCCCAGAGAATCTTTCAATAATGAAAGTTGAGGCTTGAATTTATTCTTCAGTTCCCCCATCTTGAGAAATACTGAGCGTGTTCTTCCTTTTTGGCTTTCTGATTCCAGATATTTGCACATTTTGTTGTAATATTTGGCTTTATCTCCTCGAGCTGATCTGTGAAACTTTCTGTTCGGCTCTTGTACCTCCTTTTTTCTTCCATTTGCTTTAGCATCTTTATGCTGGAGAGCATGTTTCAGCGTCCCTTCTGACATCCATTTTGACCTTTCTTTCTTTCTTTCCTTGTCTTCTTAATGACTTTTTGCTTTCTTCATGTATGATGTTCTTTATGTCATCCCACAACTCTTCTGGTCTTCGTTCTTTAGTGTTTAATGTATCAAATCTGTTCTTCAAATGATCTCTAAATTCAGGTGGGATATATTCAAGCTCGTATTTTGGCTCTCATGGACTTATGTTCATTTTCTTCAGCTTCAGTTTGAATTTCCATATGAGCAATTGATGGTCTGTTCCACAATCTGCCCTGGCCTTGTTTTGACTGATGATGTGGAGCTTTTCCATCTTCTCTTTCCACAGATGTAGTCAATTTGATTTCTATGTTCCATCTGGCAAGATGCCTTTATGTAATCATTTATATACATGTACATTAATTCAATGGATAATAATTTGATACCTTTCAATTTTAAAAAAATCACAGATTCCTTAAAGGAGATACGATTTGAATATTTTAATGTAGTGTATGATTGGCTATCATTTACATACTGCCTGCATATGATATCTGGAATTATGTTGGTTTTAAATTTCTGGTCCCAGTGGTACTAATATATACTAAATTTGTATACTCAAATCAGCAAAGAATAAAGTTATATGGTCACAAATTGCATAATAAGTTAGGAGGAATTGTTAGTTATTGCAGTTCTCTGAAGAGCAATCCTGGTGTGGTTCTTAGGATAAGCACTGGGTCACAAGGCCAGTTTGAACCACAAGGTCAGTGATTCAAATTCATCAGCTGCTCCTAGGAAATCCTATAGAGGGTCGCTATAAGTTGGAACCAACTTGACAGCACTTAAAAACAACAAATAAGTAATATAGGACTCCTGGTTCAGCGCTTTAGGATAAGTGCTGGACTGTTAACCAAAAGGTCAACATTTCAAACCCACAAGTAACTCCTCGGAAAGTCTATACAGGGTCACTATGAGTCAGAATCAACTTGACAGTACTTAAAAACAACAAGAATATAAATAATACAAGTAAACTATACCATATAAAACATACAACAATGCAATGAGAGTTAAACTATTCTGTGACTATGAATCCAATTTGGAGATTTAACAAAAGAGATTAAAAAAGAGAATGAACAAGAAAACAAGATTTTTACTTATCAAATTTTTAACTCTTAGTAAAAGTATTAAGCATTTAATTTTTTTTTTCCACTGACTACATTTTTCTACCTCTCAGCCAAAAAAAAAAAAATATTAACTTGCTTGTTAGTTGCTCCCAGTGTGTAAAGGCAAAGTTTGAACCAAGCTGGACATTTTCTTTTTTAATTATTCAAATATGAAGCAAGATTTGAAGCACTTAAATGAAAATGTCATTAATTATGTATACAGAAAAGAAATCAAGATCTAGGGAGAAGGAAGGATAAAGAAATACAAGTGGGTTTCAAAAGTTCATGAAAAAATTCCATCTTTCCACCAATTTTTTTGAAGCCCTACTTGCATACTACTAAAATTGACTTGGTAAAGTGCTAAACTGGAAGGCATTATTTAAATCTGGAAAAAAAAGAGAAAGAGTTATGACCAATGATGTGATCTTAAATATATACAGAGAAAGAAAGCCAGATCTTCTTCATCTTTCCCAAAACCACAAGAGGAAATGAAGTGCAAGATGAAGGATTTATATGAGAAATAAGAAAGGTATTTCTGACAATGAAATATAAAATACAATGGAAGAGGTTATTAAAGATTGTGGTGGATTTTTTCTGTAAAGGAAATAATATTATAGTGTCTGAAGAAAAAAGAAACATTTAATGATTTTGCAAAGCTTTGTAGACATGAAAGGAATTGCAATAAAATCTCACTTTATCGGCATATAATGAAATTCTTTACTATAGCACATACACAATAAGAAAATTACAACTGAAAAAATTTGGTATGAATATTGTAAACTAAAAGGAAGTGCTGTAGTATCATAAGACTTCAAGGTGCATAATGTTTATTTACTAGGGTCATTTATAACCAAAGAGTTTCCCAAGAATTTCCCTAACTGAAATTTTAAACTCACATAGTAAATACCTCTTAATTCTATTATCTTCTCTTACCTTTACAGTCCTTTTTATTTGAAAGCATAACAAAACCGCTTTTGCAGGAACAATGGTAACTCCCAGGTATATTATCACAAAACTGGCTGCATCCTCCATTAACATTTGAGGGATCTTTGCATTCATTTATATCTAAAATAGAGAAAATTATTATTTTTAAATTAACATAAGCTTATCGAATTTTTCAGGAAGTCAACCCAGGTGAACCAGGTAGGTTTATTATACATACCAAATTCACACTTCTCTCCTTGCCAACCTGGTTTACAAATACAAGTGAATGTAGCTTGGCCATCTCTACAGCTACTATATCCATCTTCATTGCATGGCAAAGGGTTACACTGGTCTGAAATGACTGAAGGAAATAGAATTTTTTTAAAAATTTTTATAACATGTCACATTAAAATAATAATGTTCTCTTTAATAGAACTTCTATTCATGAACTTACAACTCCTTCCATCAAGTAATAATTTTTTATTGCAAAGTGAGTCTACTAGGCAAATCTTTAAAATTGCTTTGTAAAATGAAAAGAATTTTAAATTGATAAATATATAGTGCTTTATACCTATAACTTACCTCTTTTGTATTACTTGATACTTAAAGCAATTCACTATAAATCCAGCCTTTCTGGGTCCATAGAGACGAGATGAACCCCTGACACTAATGCTCTGAGGTATTCTTTAAACCTTAAGGCAAAAATATCCCACGAAATCTTAAAAACAAATAATAGCTTAACTAGTAAAGAATGTCTGCCTTGAGTATTATGCTCTTTTTATATCTGTCTATAGAGCCCTGGTGTGGCACTGTGGGCTAATGCGTCAGACTGCAAAGTTGTTTGAACTGCAACATCGGTGGTTCAAAGCTCACCAGCTGCTCCTTGGAAACCCTATACAGGGTCGCTATGGACCAGAATCGACTTGATGGCACTTAGAAACAACAATGGAATCCAGGTGTGGCTCTGTGGGTTAATGCACTTGGCTGCAAAGTTGGTTTGAACCAAAAAGTCAGTGATTTCAATTCACCAGTTGCTCCTCGGAAACCCTATACAGGGTCACTATGGATCAGAACCGACTTGATGGACTTCATAACAACAATATATATATCTATATGGGATCAAACTGACAAAAACAACTTAAAAGATTAGACAGAAAGTTTAGGGCGCAGTGAGTTTAAGTGAATACGGGAGGAACAACTTTGAAAAGGAAAGTAAGAATGGCTGCACAAACAGAAGAATTTATTCAATGTCACTGAATTGTACATGCATGAAGAAACTGTGGAATTGGTGTGTGTTTTATTCTGTATATTCTCAACAATAACAACAACAAAATAAATTATATTTAACAAACACACAAAAAACAATTCTTTTTGTTCAGTGAAATTATCTTCTTGTCAAGCCTTTGTAGAATATGGGGCCTTAGGTAGAATCCTGAGCCCCATCCAAAACTTTCTGAGGTGGGACATTCCCACGTGAAAGGACATGCAGACCAACTCGGAGTGGCTAGAAGAACAGAAGATGCTTCTTGAAAGAAAGACCAGCAGGGAAAAGGAAAAAAAAAAACACTGTTTGGCTATTACAAGAACAAACAAGCTACCTTCCTGGGAGCCATCAAGGCAAGCACTTACAGCCCTTCAGGACAACCCCCTTCCAAGACTGAAACTCAAAGGGAACACAGTAACTGACTTGTAAGTTCACTGGGAATCACATTGGTCTATTTGTGAGTGGAAGTGAGGGAAAGGCAGAAATGAAGACATGGGCTGAGTTCAACCATGTTCCATAGACTCCTGTTGACCTTGAGATGAAAGAGAGAAGAGGAAGGGCTGGTTGGTCTGAAGTTTGGGAAGACTTGGAAACTCCTGAGGCCATAGGCAATGACATAGCCACTGGGAACTAGAGCTGAGAGTGAAGCATCCAGCTGATACGAAGTGAGGGAAGGTGCACAAGTATGCCCGAACTTGCAGATAGTACCCATTTGACCTAGCTTGGATGAGTTGATGATCAGAACTTGACAAGAGGAAGATAAAGAAGTTTGATATAGTAAGCAAATGTAAATTGCTACAATTTGATGAACTTGACCTTTGATAATGGATGCAGTTGCTGAAAATTCCATCTGACAGGGAAGGAGTCTTCACGTCAAGGATCAAACTTATTCCCTCGGTATACAAAGTTGATAGAGATGGACAGCTGAGACATTGGCTACCTAAAATGAGGGTTGTTGTTGTGTTGTGAAGTGCCATTTGAGTCAGTACCAACCCATAGCAACCCTGGAGGAGGGGGCTATAAAGACATGAAGTGACTGACCTACAAGGTTTCAAGAGGGAGTTTAGTTTCAGAGAGAGGTGGGGAAAACAGAATCCCCACTGAATAAATTTCATCTTGTCTAGATGGGTCTGGTGAAAGGAGATGGGGATAGGATTCTTTTCGTTCAATAGTGAGTAATTGTTATCATGACTAATTGCAATAGTCACAACTATAAAGGTAGAAGTTGTGAAACAAAAAGGGGGGAGTAGTTAATCTTACATTCCAGTCAGTAACAGAGAGCCCTAGGACCATCAAGACAGAAGAGCATGAGCAAAACATGGGATCCTAGCCAAAGAAACACTGATACCAGAGAAGGAGGCAGAGGCGATTGCATGGAGAGATAGAGCAGCTGAGGACTCTAGACTCAAGGAAAGAGAAAGGCTGTGCTGGCTGGCAGAAGTATAGCTTGGTTGTTTAAATAATTATATATTCCTGAGTATTTTCATGCACATCAAAAAAAAAAAAAAAAAAGTGAGAATAGAGGCAAATACTGTTAAGCAATGGCACATGGAGAGGATTGTAATTATTGCAGTGAAACAAAATATGATTGCTTGAGTGCAAAACTGATGTTCTGCCATGTAAACTATCACTCGATTCACAATAAAAGCTTTTAAAAAAATTCTGTAAAGTAGGCAGCACAAACACTACTACTCTTAGTATCAACAGAAAGAAGAATTTGGGACTTCCAATTTTAGCTAACATGGAGTGACTGCCTTAAATCAAAAGAACCCTGGTCAAACCAGTGTTTAGACATTGGATAATAGGCAGTACAGGGAATGGAAATCGTCAAGGTAAACCCATCTTGCTGCCTGGAGACAGTTTCCATGCCACAGTAGAGAACCCAAACACAGTCTAGTAGTCTCCCAGGACTGAAAAGTGTGTGGTAAAGTCAAACAAGAATTTGGCAGGTCATAGTACTGTAGAACTTAACAGAGAGAAAGAGAAAGAGAGAGAAATACCTATAAACCTGCAGGGCAAGATCTTCTTGAGTCTTGTTATTTAAAATAAAATCAATTTTACCAGGAAATATTACCAAAGAAATATTGCTGTTGTTGTTAAGCCCTGTGGAGTTGGCTCCAACTCATAACAATCCTGTCTGTATAGGGTTTCAGAGGAGCTGCAGGTGGTTTGAAACAAATATTTATCCTACTGTGCCACACCAAGACTATATTACATTACTCTATTACACCAGTGTCACACCGTTATCAGGGGAAAAACGATTAAGTCTAATAAAGAAATAAAGCTCAATCACTTAACTTTTTAAAAACAAACAAAAACAATTTCTGTCAAGTCAACTTAACTCATGGTAATCCCATGTATTTCAGAGTGAAACTGTGCTCCATCGGGTTTTCAATGGCTGATTTTTCAAAAGTGGATTGCCAGGTCTTTATTCCAAGGTACCTCTGGATGGATTAGAACTTCTGATCTTAGCAGCTGAACACTTAACCATTTGTGCCATCAAGGACTTGGAAAGCTCAATTATAATATCCTTTGTATTTTCTTCATAGAACAAAACAGCACTTTATCACTCCCTGAAATATGTCTATTTCTTTCTTCCTTCCTTCCTCCTGCCTTCCCTCCCTTTCTTCTTTCTTATTTTTCTACCCTTACTAAAACTGCAATGGTACCTTGGCTCCTGCACATCCCTATGCCTGCTTCTCAAGCCTTCCTAGTCAACTCTGCAAATTCCTCTTATTTTCCAATAAATTTCCCTTTGTTTAAGGTAGTCAGAGGAAATTTCTGTTGTTTGCAAAAATCAAAAACAAAAAAGCCCTTGCATATACTCAACTAATTCCATAAGGTTCATAATGTATCCTCATAAAATTAACACACATTTTTAAAAAGTGATAATATAGTAGGTTTTAGTTAAAAGAATAAATCAATTAAAGAATAAGAAAATTATTATTAAAGTTATTTTTTCTGTCCTTCAGAAAATTTTTAAAAAAAAGATAATGTTTGAATTAAATATACTTAGCCAGGAAAATGATTCTACTTGTGTAATTATAGAAAGTTTAAATTAGAGAAAATTAAATAAATTATTATCTGCATAATGCCCATGTCATGTGTGTAAGACATTCACTGGACAGACATCCTCGCTTAAATTTTACATTGTCATCCTTTTTCTGTCTATCACTTGAGAAATTGGCAAAATAGAGGATAAATAAATTACCAGAATTATCACTAGACCTTGTGTGAACTTTAGATGCTAAATTGGATTCACGTGCTACTTTCCACATTTATATTGCTGATGCCAAAAATTCTGAGGGATAAACACAGTTCAACTTTGACCTATTAATCAGTTGTAATGTTTAGTCATATTACATAATTATGCAACAATAGCCAAAATAAAGTTTTAAGGAATAAAAATTGTTAATCAATGACCTTAGTAAAGAAAGAATTGTTGTTGGTGGTGTTATTAAGTGCCACTAAGTCAGTTCTGACTCATAGAGACCTTGTAGAAAGTTTCCAAGGAGCAGCTGGTGAGTTTGAACCACCTACCTTGTAGTTCAAACTGACCTTGTAGTCCAGTACTTTATCCCACAGAGCCACTTCAGTGTAAATGTTATAAGGATATGCACTTTGAGTAAAGTGACAATATTTGTAGAGCTAAAAACATTGTTTCAAATGTGTTTTGAGGAATCTTTGTTGCTGGGCATACAAGCCTGCAAGGATTAATTTGTTAACATTAGTCTTTGAGTGATACCTTAGGATAAACACTTGACCTCAAGGTCAGTATGAACTGTAAGGTCGGTGGTTCAAACTCACCAGCCACTCCTCAGAAACCTTATAAAGGCTCGGTATGAATCAGAACCGATAAAATGACACAAAACAACAACAATTATATTACCATTAGTATACTGTCCTTGCAAGTTTGTCTTGTTTTTTAAATTGATGGTAGAGATGCTTACCAGTGACACAGCTCCTCAGGTCAGGATAAGCAATGGTTGACTGATATGAAGCAGAAGATAATCCAGCTCGGTAAGAGCCAAGACAACCTGCAATTGCAAACAAATGTAATTGCTTTAGAACAAACACACTTACTGGATGTGAAATCATAAAAGAGATCCTGTGCAGCCCCCAGCATTCAAAATGTCAACTCTATTTCCATCCACCTTTTTTGAAAAATAAAAATCTAAAAGCAAGATTGCAATAAATAAAGAATGAAAAGTAGTATCCAGTCTGTCTGGGCGGGGCTGATGAAAGAAGATGTGAATAGGTCTCTTGTGATACAATAGAGAATAATTGTTATCAGGACTGATTGTGAGGGTTGGAAATGTAGACGTTTTGTAGCAAAAGGCGGGAAGTGATTGACTTTGCAGTCTAGGAGCGGAGGTCCCTGGGTCCATCAAGGGAGAAGAGTAGAGAGTGGAACCGTTCCTACCCAGAGAAACAGTGATGCCTGAGATGGAGGCAGAGATGATGACATGGAGAGATGGAGTGGCTGGGGACTTTAGACCCAGAAAGGGAGAGGAGCTGTGTGCTGAAGACCCTGGGGGACAGTCTTGCAGGTTAAACTCTTTGGTTGGTTGATGATGCATGGAGGGGATTGTAACCATGGCAATGAAACGATATACGATAGGACGAATGTAAAGCTAATGTTCTGCCATGTAAACTATCACATAATTCACAATAGAACATTTAAAAAAACAAAAAATGAATAAAGGAAAACAGGCTTATACCAGTTTGTTCTCTCTTGAAAAGAACCTTAATGCTGGAAGAGAAAAAGACCCTGGATTAAAAGGGAAGTTTGCTGTCACATGCATCTATGTTCTTAACTCTAAAGATAAAATCAGCTCTGTAAAACATAACCTGATTTAGAAGGTGTGTAAAGTTAAGGCTCTGGTAGCGTAGTGGTTCTGAATCAGGCTGTTAACTTCAAGGTTGGCAGTTTGAAACTACCAGCTGTTCTGAAGGAGAAAGATGAGGGTTTCTGCTCCCGTAAAGATTTGCAGCCTCGGAAACCTTGTGCAGGGTCACTATGAGTCGGAACCGACTCCACAGTACTTGACAACAACAAAAGTTAAGGCAGTAGAATGAGTTAATATTTATTGTTGCTGTGAGCAAGTTCCAGTGCATTTAATGTTGCATGGAGATTAATATAATGGTATTTGTTTAATGCCTCAATATTCACAGAGCAGGTATGCTTCATTTATTTTGTTCCTTATCAAACCCATTAAATAGATATACAAAAGTATACAGGTGCTAGTAAACTAAAAAATTACAGCTAGACTAACAGTGATAATAGAATTATGGGCTTTAAAATAACTAGATGCCAAATTAAAACAAATAAATAAAGTAACTGGTGCCAAAATATAACACTACTTTATAACTGGAGAAGACAACATTATCTGACTCAGTTCATTGAACAAATAGTCACCAGCTAACTAAAACGAAGAGAAATAGCTGTAAAAATCCATTAAAAATCGGAATATGGAATGAATGAAGTATGAATTTGGGAAAATTGGAAGTTGTCAAAAATGAAATGGAATGCATAAACATCAATATCTTAGGCATTAGTGAGCTGAAATGGACTGGTATTGGCCATTTTGAATCTGACTACCACATGGTTGACTATGCAGGGAATGACAAATTGAAAAGGAATGGTGTTACATTCATCATCAAAAAGAACATACCCAGGAGGGAACAAACAAGATGGCGGATCGGGTGGACGTATAGTAGAGAGCTCCGCCAACAACAACAGAATACCCGACCAAGAAGGTTCAGGGGATGGTCCCAGAACTCTGAACCACATATAAAGGAATACTTAGAAGGTTGGAAGGCTCACAGCTGGGGGAATTTGTGGCAGAAGCAAGAAATCT